CTGCCAGTAGTCTTGGTCCTGGGTAATTGCTCTTTCCAGAACTGAGTCTTATCATTATTTTTTGCCCAGGCAACTACGGCATCAAATATTGGTCTAGGGATCTGCGATATGTCAGTAAGTTATCCCAGGAATATAAACAGTTATTGATTACCGGAGGTTTGACGCATGTTAGGAGCGTCTCTTCATCAAGATCCTTCACTTCTGATTTGAGGAAATATTTCAATGATGGATATAGGATACACCAAACGTCCGTTTTTGGTAATTGGCGAGCAGCTGATGCTAAGAAGGAGACCGCGGCTATAATCTTTTAGCTATATAAACACGAAGAAATGCAAGAAAAAGCTTACCTTGTCGTATCCAAACATTTGGATGGTACAGGAATCCAAAGACCGCACTCATTAATTCCCATATTCTCATCTTTTGGAACAATCCAAAGCCAGAAAGCTCAGTAAGAGCTTGTAGGACCTTTGCCACCACTGTTTCTTCAGTATCTGAGAAGGGAAAGGTCAGGTATTATACGCAAACTATCCGTGTCGTATACACACCTGAAAGGGCTTGGATCATCAAGGGTAAAATGTATTCGTCCAAACTCCTGCCTCCAACGCAAACAGCCACATCAACAATACTTTGGAAAAAGGCATAGCGAAGCATCCAATCGCGATCGTTAAGATAAGTCAACATATGGCTCAAGAGTACGTCATTCGTTTTCTGGCGTCCGAGGAAAATGCAAAGACTGGATGTGTTGTTCAAAACTGTTCGCTTGACAACAGATGATTTGTCCACTAGGAGAGTGACGAGTTGTTCTTGAATAAGTGATTGGAGCTCAGCAAGAGCAGAATCATAGGACTAAACCGAGGTCAGTAAAACTTTTGTTCATTAAATTTGCAACTGACCTCCTCTTGAGCTTCCCAATCTGTGCCTGTTCTTCTAGTACCATGGGCTTTAAGGGCATGCGACATTTCCAGAAATAGGGCACCAATCTCTGTCAAAGGAACAAGACACTGTGCATACACACATCGAACCATGACATCTGGATCACTAGCAAGATGTCTTGTGTGTTGAAGAATATATTCCGGGATAATGGACGCGTTCGAAGGGGTGATGGCCGACACTAGGCTCAACTATAATACCTTGTTAGTCGAGAGTCGAAGGCAAATGAATCACACTTGCCACTTGTAAGATAGTCCGTACAGCTGCGGCTCTTATCAAAGCTGAATCATCGTGAAGAAGATCAACGGTATATGGAATTAGACGATCTAATTTAGCTTCGTCGGT